CTTCTTTCTCTCCTGTTCTCGTTTATCTTTCGTTTTTTTTTTTTTTTTTTTTACTCTCTGCGCGCTTCTCTTTCTCTCTCTTTCTCCGTGTAATGCAAAATACGGCTCACTATTACGGTCCGGTTGCATCAATATTATTTTGGCTTTAAGCAAACTTAAATAAGAGTCTGTCTTTATTTAGAGAGAGAGAGATAAAGACAGATGTTTAAGTCTCGCCTAAAGCCAAATTAACGTCGGTGCGACCGAGTCTAAGAAGCAAAAGACCTGAGAAGGGGCGAGTCGGATCGTAACTCATCGTGACACACGCGTAAACAGAAAGGTCCCCATAAGATTTCGACGATTATTGCAATTCCATTCTTCGCTTTTTTTCACGTGATATATAATAGATTTCTACATATATGTAAATCTAGTTTTATCATACCGCTAGATTTTTTTTCCACATACACACGCATACGCAATCTGTTTTACGTGATGCAAAGTGAAATTAAAAAAACTTGAAATCGCGAATGCTAAAAAGTTCATCGAACGTGAAATTTAATTAAACTGGCTGTCATCGGGAGGGGAGAGAAGGGAGGGAGCGAGAGAGGGTCTTCATGCGTTTCGTGCGTTCCATATTTTATCGAACGAATTTAGCGTAAATCGGAGCACCGGGGGCTCGGGATAGACGGAGAGGGAGGGAGGGGGGGAGGTGGTATCGAGAATGATGGCAGAGCTACAACAACTGTGATGATTATGGCGCATATACGGCGTACCACCGGCTTAAACCCAAACGGTTCATAATTGCTTTCCGATTAGATACCGTTCCGATAGCGTTCCGATAGCGCTCCGATAGCGTTATTTTCAATTCCACATTGCGCTTCGCAGCGGCAAGCAGCGCGTATCGACAGGTATATATACCGAGGCAAATTCAACAGGCGGCCGTGTGCGCCGGTCTTTGTGCACTTTTCCGATTAATAGGAAGGGGGGCAGGGAAGGCAGGGGGGGGAGGGGGAGGAATGGAACGGCTGACCACACGCGGCGACTATTCACCGGCGAATTCCCTCGACGTGATATGCGACATTCTGCTTTCTTGAAACCGCTCGGATCGACCGGAATCCGATCATTAAGATTATCCGCCGCGGCGACCGCCGCGTGATTTTCAAGTTAAATTGTAAAGAAGTTTCGGGACCTCGAAAAAATTTCTCAACCCTTATAATTCTTTCACGCGAAAGAATCGCTGCATTATTCTGGATATCCGATTATCAATGATCGATGACCGTCGTAATTAATTGCGATCGTGATCAATTTTTAAGTTAATTAAAAATCATAAATACAGTTACTTTTTTGGGAGAAGAGACAATTATTATGTTATTAATGATCAGATAATCGGATTAATAGAGTCGAATCGATAGATTATCTTTTATTCAGATGACAAAGGAAATCTCTGGCTATTTCTTCAATTCACCATCGATCCCCGCGACCGCGGTATGACGTGGCGACTCGGAGATTTAAAATCATTGCGCTGTTACGGGCAAACGTTTATGGCATCCCGAAAGGCATGTCTTGTCCTGCCGTCCGAGAGAAGCGATAAATTGACCCGTGTAAGCGACGGTTTGGCGCATTCCGTGTCGTAGATCCATTGTGATCCGAAGGATTACTCAGCGGTTGAATGGATAGCGGTCGGACGTTCGCGAATTATCCTCGTAGGTGCACCATTAATTACATACCGTAATTAAACATTGTGTCGAATTATCTTTCTTGGCCGGTGACGTGACGTGGGGGAGGGGTGAGGAAGGGCGAGGGTTACGCCTCTCTTTATGCCGATACAGCTTATAATCTTATCCTCGGCAGAAGCTAATTTAATGTACGTTACGTAAAAGTTTCGCCGAGAAACTAAACGCCGCTCTCGAGCTTATTCACGGATTGACGGATTAAACTTCGCCCGAGGAATCCGCTTCTCAAAAAGGTCTTTTGTGGTGCGCCGCTTTGATATAGTTTGCGAGACGAAGCCATGTATCCGCTCGTTACGAGAAAGGGCGGCCATTCTCGCTCGAGATTTCTCAAATATCGAAGTCTCATTATTTATCCCTTCCCTCCTTCCCTCCTCCCCTCCCGGGGGAAACGTCGGATAATTCCGAGGTCGGATAATGTCCAAGTTGAGTTTAAAAAGCTAAACTCCGAGAGATATGACTTACGCTCGGATATTTCTCCGAAAAAAAAAGAGAGAAGAGAAGGAGAGGGAAAATGGACAAAAGTGTACTGCTGCAATATTTATCAAGTATGGGTCAGGAAAGCGGGCACGTCGTAGATTATTAGCCAGGAGCACGCTCCACCATCTCACATTCTCCACCCAACTCCCTACGTGACTACTGAATAAACACTTTGATTTATGCGACAGCGTGCTCCCGATAAGGATAAACCAGTACATCACGAGGGGAAACGGATCAAAGAAACAAAATTCAATCCGAGGGCTTCATTCCTTATTACTTTCTCCGAGTCCCGACTTATTTCGACATTCCCCTCCTTTCTATCAAAAAGAAATAAAAAGAAAAAAAAGAAAAAAAAAAATATTGTATACACCACGTCACCAAGTTCTCGTTTCGAGCGTGAATACTTTAAGATCCCCGCGAGATAAGTTTTTCGTGTTTTCATCGATATGACCGTACGAAATATGTATTTCGCGAAAACTCTGATCACTGCGGGGAATTTCGAAAATTTGCGACGCGTAACTCCACAGACGGAACGTATAACTTGACAAGTAGCGTTTCCGGGGGATGTATGTATGTATATAATATATAAATTTAACGCGGCATAAATTTTCTCACTACGTGAAATACGATACGTATATATGCGCTCGTACACGATGCCCCCCCC